CTGTCTAACAGTTTCGGCATGTTGCTATGGATGGCACCACAATTACTCCGTATGAGGCGGGCAACTACGTTTGAATTGATTGACAATTTTAAAAATTGAGAAGAATAACTACTCGGCATATTTTGTACAATTTCGCAGCCGATTAGCCTAGCACCATCCTCGATAGGAACTATTCTATCGGCGATACTGCTAGTTTCCAGTTCTTTGTCGTTCTTATAGTTCCAGCATATTTTTGAGTATTCAATACAACACAACTCTGAAACACCGCGAAAGATCATTGTCGCTACACTAAGAAAAAGGGGATCGATCGCTATCGTAACGCTACTTTAATTAATGAACATTATGTGTAATAAAGTACGCTCTCTCAAACGCGTTTGCTCAATCAACCGCAATGCTATCACAAAATCAAATGCACTATTTGTTAGTTAAGATAATCAAGCTTTATATTTAATAGTATTAAAACCAAACGCGATCAGTGTCTGTCATACGCAAAGTTTCTTTTAAAACAATTTCAAAAGACACATACTAAAAATAGTTCTAATCGAATTCGCGATTATATCTTTCGCAACTCTACTTCCAGCCGTAATGTATTTCGCAACGCTAATTAAAAATCGTGATCTGCCCATTGCTGGAGGTTGGGGCGGCTATAGCCAGCCCGATACAACTACAATTACTTCTACTACTACCACTACTATTTTTACTGAAGCTAAAGTGAATGCAGTGACAAAGTAGTAACATAAAATGACGCTCCATCTCCATGCTAAGATGGAGCGCCATTAGTAATTGCCCTCTTCAGCGACATTTTGTCGGGGTCTCTTCGGCATACGCCTCTTCGTTTCTTCGGCAGTCCGCCGTTTCTGAAACCCTGAGATTGTCACTGATGCACCTGGGTGCGAAAGAACCTAACGCCTAGAGTGGACGTCCCGGGACGTCCGTTGACAACCACATTCATACTCTAGTTTATCAATTCCTGAAATCGACTGGCAATGGTTAACGATTTTTGAGAAGATATTTTGTTTTGTACGAACGATACATTGAAAGTGATATAATTCTAATATCATTCATTTTATTATAATCTGTTGAAATTCATACTCTACTGAGTGAAGATATAAGGAAACGTGTGTATATACTCCATGAACAATTTATAGCAAACATGGCATAGGGTAAGTGGAATATATACGTGTGAAGAATATATATGATAGTGTTTATTTTACTTACATGTTTAAATAATAACAATTTCATAGTGTCCATTGCCCCTCACTCTCCCAAGTAGCACCTAACAGACTAATGTTCTTTGATTCTCAAAAATGACTATAATTCACTCAAAATTAAGAATTTAATTCACTAACTTTAGAATTCAAACAAAGAATAAAAGCAACTGAAATTTAATGGAAATTGAAACTCTAAGTAAAATTTCAATAACTGTGAAGCATTTAAAATTTTTTAGAAATTTTTAAACAGCCTTAGGTGATTCCTTTGTCGAAGCAACTGTTTTTAATGACAAAACAAAGGTGTTACAGAGTGTAGTTGCTTCGTCTCGGAGATTTATCCATCGCGAAATGTTTTCTTGTACGATATTTACTATGATATTTCTACGAATAAACGAACTTTAATGAAAATAATAAATCATTTTAATCAACTGTATCTCAGTCAAACTTGAAAAATCCAAAATCAGATTGAACCTATTGATACAATTAATGTACCACTAAGTTCTCAGTCATATTATCTTAATATTCAATCTTGAAGGTTCTATTATATCTTACATACGAAACTATAAAATAAAGTTACGTTGCTCGTAATTCGATAAAAAGTCAAAGTATTATTGCTAGCATTTGCAGTTAACGTTAAACGCGACGTACAAGAAAACCCTATCTTATCTAACAAATAAACCAAAAAATGCTTCTACTCTCGGGTATTCCTCGTGAGGCATATCCGAGGTCACTACACTCATAAAATCAAAAACTACTAAAATGGTACTACCAGTCACCAGTGTCGTTACGGACCATTCGTCCTACGACACGATCGGTGACCGGAGTGAAAAAAAAATAGCATGCGACTCACGATCGCTCTTTGCAATCGGTACATAGCTTAGGATGAGCTGAGGACCACTGGTTAGCATTGATCAGCACTGGTTAGCATGGATCTGCATTGATTTCAACTAGTCAGTACTGGTCAGTAGTGATCACTATTGGTTAGCAGTGGTATCAACTAGTGTCCAAGGGTGGAGGTAGGACTAGGCCCCTGATAGCCAGAGAGGTCCACGAAGGACTAGGAAGGTCCTGGCGGTCTCAAAAGTGTCTACTGGTCTTCTTAGGTCTTCACAGTTCAAGCGTTCGCTACAAACTGAGCTCTCTACTGTCGATACTGTCCCTTTTGTAGGCAAAGATTGCTGACAATCATATTGTAGGAACCTTTTATTCGCAACAATAACGTGTATACATAGACTTTTATCATCTAATAATATTGTTAATAAAAATATCATGTTTTTGCGAATTATTTCTAATATTTTTAAATAAATACAAATAATTAAGTATATTTTCTTGACGCTTAAAATATAAAAATTTGTACATCAATGAGTTTTTAATTCGAACACCTCAGTAAAGGAGCTTATGATCTTTCAAATCATTTTAACAAACGAGAAAAATCGGAATTTGTTTATATTCTTTAGTTTAGAGTTCTTCGAAAAATTAGCTTGCGACCTTCTGAACCACTTTTGTGGCGTTCAATTTCAAAAGTTGAAGATATATCATGTAAATCATTTTTACCAACATTATCTAATATTTCATATTCCAAAATAACTTCTAATCTGTAATACAATTTTCGAGGAAGTCATATTTTACCATTTATCAGCACAGAGGCAGGGCATAGAAAAGGAGGACAGGAATATATTTAGAAATCAGCGTTTTATTGTTTTCCAGTGAAATTTACAAAGGTGGTTATTTCTAATCTACTATTTAAATTTCACTGTTCCGTGCTTGATATCCCGTTCACACAGTCAACGAACAGTCACAACGTGTTTTCGCGGTTCAAGCCGTACGCGAACAGCACTCGTCGACTTTCGTTTCCCTCGTTCATCATTGTTCGCGTGACGACGCGGTTTGAAAATGATCGTAATCGGCAGTACAGTTTACGCGACACCGTGCATGATACGCTACTTAAGTAAAACGTTATGTCCTTAAATAGTACCGATACGCTTCCGTTTACTTCATGTGCCTCAGTGAATAAATACAGTCGATCATCGATTCACAGTCACCTGTAATTTCATCCGTTCCGACTGTCGATTCGATTATTAATTGATTTCACGTGAATTTCAATAGCGTCAAGGACAAGACAGTTTATTCCCGCTAATTCGAACCAGCTCGTTCGCACAACGAAGAAGTTTAATTATCCGAAAGAAGGATTGACCGTTATAGAATAGACTCGCGTCAGATCAGATCACGTTTATCAATTATTCGAACAGAAAAAGAACAAAAGGACACTCGTTACCTCTACCGAAATGTTAATCGCAATAAGCGTGGGCGTGATCAATGCCTTAGATTACTTGGTCGAAGAGGAAACCTATTCGAAGGGAACCGTTTCCCCTTTTACGATTATATTTTGAGCACACGTTGCGACCAGGACTTTCTTCCGACACAGTCTCTCTCGAAACGTTGATTAACCTGTTGACGCCGGTGTGTACCATTGGTAGCTCACACTTGAATGTCACATCAGACGGCATGTACCATCAAAAATGTAATTTATTAAATTAATTTGGTAGATAGGAAACACTGACATATAGTTGAAAATGATTGAAATGATCGATAAGTGAATTAATGTACATCTACATAGCAATTTTTTCTATCTAGCAAACCAATTTAACCAACTACACATTTGATGGCACACACCGTGTTTCCTAATAACTTCGGTAATTATTGAAATGATCGACAAGCGCGATTCAATGTTCAAAATTCCACGAAGTTCGAGATAACACGAGAAACGTGAATTACAGCGCCGACGTGAACGTGTTAAACGATTAATTCATTCGCACATCGGTTTCAGTGGTCTCGATTCTTCGGCTCGCATAGAACAATCAACGCGCGCACCGCACCGGCTAGTATCTTCGGTTTCGTATCGTGTGTCGCGCGTTCCTCATCGATTTCGTTGCCGAACGACGATACCGTGACGACGATACTATTGGGAGTACGATATTGTTCACAGGGATGACTATACAGGCCGAGTGTACAATATTTCCAGCGGCAATAAACGCAATTCAACATCGTCGGAGGTCGTTACACGAATCGAAAAACGAATCAGACGAAGTATAAAAATATCAGACGCAAAGGATGTGTAAATTTGGTGTACGATCATACAGCTATACATCTTATCATTGTTCAATCGTCCTCGTTACAAACGAGTTAGTTCTTACAAGTTCGCGCTCTCCATTTCCTCGTTACATGCGTCAGAGCTGCGACAATCTTCTCTAAACCGTTCAGCGATCGGTTCAGCGCGAGATGATCGCGCGGATGTTCTCGGAACACTGCTATGCAGATCGCCAGGACATTGTCAAGTAATTTTAGAAGTCCCCTCTATCGCGATCATTTCTCTTTTTCAGTTTTTTTACAATTCTCGTCCCTTAGGGCCGTGTAGCATAAACATTACCTATTTATTGATTATCTGTGCGAATTCGTGCACGACTTTCAGTAATTGGGATAGAGAGAAAGATCGAAAGAGAGAGAGAGGGAGAGAGAGAGAGAGAAAGAGAGAGAGAGAGAAAGAGAGAAAGAGAGAAAGAGAGAAAGAGAGAAAGAGTGAGAGAGAGACACACAGCGGTGAGCCAGGGAGTCTCGCGGGTCACCGGAAATTAGGAATATCTCGGGTAATTAGCCTAATACCGTGTCCATCGACCGACCTCTCGGCCCTGGATACCAGCTACGAGAAGAACACTTGAAGAACACTGACCGTTTCGCAGTGAGAAACTTCGATACTTCGGTCCTCGGAGATCCCTACCTAATTACAGTCAATTCTGTTAAGAATCAGTTCGTTCGAGGTAACACTTTCGCCGTTCGCGACTGAACACTTGCCTTGGGAAAGAAACAAGACAGTCACACAATGGATCGCATGATCGCGCTAGGAACGGCACCCTGGTTGCAGCGAACGGCACAGTTTCCTATAAACAGACGCTCCAAGCTACACACGAACGTTTGCATCTTTCAATTAGATGGTAGTTAGCATTCCATTGTCTCTCTTTCTTGGGCAGTCTTTAAACGAATTGGAATCGCACCAATCTCCGATTGGATCCAAGGGTTCACTTTAGCACTGATGTGTCCTTAAAACCCACGCAATTGAAAGCGGCGCCACGTTGCAGTTTTTAGTTTTTCCGATCGTGGATCCATGATAGCGTCAGCCTGGACTTCTAGTCGAACCGGGGACTCCGAGCAGTAATCCCGAATCCCATCTCAGAACTTGGACTCGCTGATTGCCTCGAAGTCGACGAAAGTTACCTTCTTAGCCTTTGAGTTGCCCTCGAGGGGCAACCCCTAATGCTATACGGATATCTCCTGTATCTGCACGCGTTTCTTGATGGTGTTCGTGGCGGCAGTGGTGGTGCTGAGGGAGCTGGTGGTCCTGGTGGGCGGTTTCGGCGGTATCGGATCCTTGTGGATGGTGTTGCTGGTCCCGAGGCTGGGCTTCGACTCGTTCCTGACCGGTTCTTCCTCTTCAAGCGTCTGATCCTGGGGGATCGGCTGATGTTCCTGGATGGAAGGACTTCTGGCCAAGGTCGTGTAAGAAGGTGGCGGCTCTTGTGTTGTTCTAGGGCTGTCTGGTCCCTTCATGGACGACCTGGTGGTCATAGGAAGCGACTCTTGGCTGTTCGGCGTGCAGTCCATTGTTGCTCTCTTTTTGTCCCTGTCTCTTTGATAGTAGATTCCAGCGAATATCAACATGTTCAACACTAGGAGGATGCAACCGACGCCTACAGTGATCGCTAGGGCAGTGGTGGTGCTATAGTAGTGGCGGGATGCTAATCTTTGCAACAGCTCCGCATCGTCCTCCGAGTCGTCTAATATTGGCGTGATGTCTTCCGTTACTGCGTCTTCTTCTGATGGTGTGCTGCACGAGGTTGTCGAGGATGCACTGATCTTGGTCGTTCCTATTAGGGGCAGTGGGGTGTACCATTCGTCTCTGACTGGTCCTGAAAGTAATTCGTAATGATTTTAGTATAATTTTTAATCACTCTATTCGCATGTATTCTATTTTTACTGAAGGTTTTGACTCGTTTTCAAAGTAAGAACAAATCTATTTCTCGAAACATAAATTTGTTTTAGATGTATCGAAGGATTTGGTTCAATGTTAGATCCTAAAGTTAAAACTAGAGACGGATTTATCGAAATATAAAACCACCTTAACTTTAGAACTTGTTTTACTTTAGACCCTGCAACCCTAAACGCAAGAATTGTCTTTTTATAAAGAGACGCAAACCGAAACGGCTAGAGATTCATACATAACGTTCGCGTTAGGAAATGTTTCTCGTAAGAAGGCAATTTACCAGCGTAAAAGTGATCGCCCCGTTCACGGAAATGATGATGCCGCATAGAAACGTCGTCGTCGGCGGGCCGGTGGAGCTGCGGTATCAAGTTCCTCCATAGCGCCATTTTATGGCCGCGATAGTGACTCTTCATTTTCGGCTTTATTGCTAGAAGGAGAACGGGAATGTTAATGCTACTTAGTTTTGTCGTCTCGTCGAGACGATCATCGACTCACCGATGGTTAGGTATTGTTCCGTGCCGGTTTCGTATTGTTCCCAAGTGAGGCCGTGGTACCGTGTTTTATCTATCGACGTCCCGTAGTCCATCGACTCTATTTTGTGAGGCTTGTTCGGGTTCCCGGTTTTCGCGAAATTTGTGAAGAAGGTGAGCACCGCCTCTGCGATTCCGATGTCAGGGCGAGAGTAATTTCGAGGAAAGAATGACCCACCGGCTACCAATGGCAGTCCAAAGATATAGGGTATGTCCTCACCACGGATGCTTCCGGAACGCTGGAACCATTGCCGAATTAACGTGGAAACAGTCGGTGAAGAATAGAAATTCGTTTTCTAGACATACGTTGGAATTAGACTATGATATCGTTCATTTATACTGGACATACATATAAGGAACAAAATAAAATATTACAATGTTTACTGTGCACAGACATAACTGTGCGCATGAATTCATTTGTACTTGTATATGCTTAACAGGAATCAAGTTGCAGAAAGTTCATTGTCTCGAATTCTAGTCAAATCTCAAATAGAGTAATTGTAAAATCATGAATATTCACAAGTTCGTATGAAATATGAGTGCAAGAAACAGAATCAGATATAGAACACAATTAAATGCAATGTTGCTTTCAAATTATTCTAAAAGGAAGCAAGCTTCTGTCGAACCAAAGCCTATGAGGGACTCTCTAGAGGAATTTTACTTTGTAAAAAGGATTCGCAGCGCAGTTATGACAGGCTGGCGAGGGAAACGCGCGATTTTAATGGAAACCGGGCAAGAACGAGCGACGCATCGCCATCTTGAATAATTATAGGACGAAGAAGGAGACGCAGCTGCGAGGACAAGGATTCGACAGGCCAGCTGCCGGACGCTGAGGATGGAGCTGAACGATTGTAATTGCAAAGCAGCGTGTATCGCGTTGAACGTGCCCAATTTTGTTTGAGTTCCCGGGTCGCGATGCAAATCCCGTTAACTCGGTGCGCAAGCAACTGAATGTAGCTCCTCCGTTGGTCTTGGATGGGCCGGGGATTGTTGTACGCGCGTGCACGGATTCGGGCGACGATCGGAGGAACAAGGTCGGATTAGCATTTAATCGGGGATTTGTAGTTGCGAGTTAATGTCTTCCGGGCTGCGTCATTCGGCCCTCGAATTGCCGCGAGCTTTTCTTTTTTGCCTGGCAGTAAGCGGGATTTCGAGGAGAAATACTGTTGCTGGAAATTAGTGGAATTGGAAAACGTTTTCTCGTTAGAATAAAGATGTGTCTGCTCCAATTTGAAGGAAATTTCATTTTACTAAACTCATGGGAGTTCGTTCCGAAGTACTGATCGTTGAACAGGACAAAATAGTGGCAGCAAAGAATGATTATTTTTAAAGATTAACCTGATGTATTTGGAAGACTGTTTAATCGTATTGAATCGGTTGAAGTTTCAAGTTTGAAGAAAAAATGAATATTACAAGTGAATGAGAAATTTGTAGAAAAATAGTTTTGAAGGTTGTAGCATCATATAAGGTAACGCTAAAACAACGCAACGAAGGGTAACATTATGTTAATTACTGATTTAATGTACGCTTTGGGCATTTAATTTACATTTAATGATTCTGCCCATTAACGCCAATTAACGAACGCAGTTTTGTTTCACGTGAACAACGTTGCCTATGAATTTTAATCGACGCTCACGCATAATTCATCTCATAATAATTTTCAACCTGTTTATTACACTTTCCGGTGAATTAACGTCTACTCAACTGGTCGATCGTTCTGCTTACGGTGACCACACTACACAAACTTCTCATTATTATTTTATGGTCTTCAAAATTCTTTATTAGTTATATTATTCTTCGTTCACATTCTAATTGCAAACACAGTAGAACCCTAATTATCCGATTTAACTTGGCATAGCCCCACAGATAAATGGAAACTCGAGAAGAAATTTTCCAAAGCATATGTGCAAAATTCGATCGTATACAGAGTAACCTATTCAAATATACCGACTCGAATATTTTAAAATTCCCAATGACGTCTTCTACACATCGATGGTCTTGTTACATTACGCATACGAGATTATTTTGAAATGTATCATTCCATACAAAATAAGTAATAAACAACATTAATGCACATACCCGAGTGAAATAAATAAAAACAAAATTCTTCGCACGAAACTTTGCCAAATCTCCGAATTCGTTACTTAGCGCAAGTTAAACGCGCAGCCTTTCGAACGGCGCGTTTTCGGTTTAATTAAATTTCGCTTTGTATGTACACAGCTGGCCCGCGTGGCGAGCGAACGCAGTAAATCGCTATTACCCGTGGCCCCGAGCGAAACTTATTAACTTTCGGCTGTGCCGTGATTCATGTTGGCCCTTCGGAAACTCCGAGGTTTACGACGTGTCCGTTCTACGCTGCCGTGGAACGGGAAAGCTGCGACAATTCCGAACTACTGCAGTAAACCTCTAACTTCCTCTGTCAAGATGTTGCTGCCTTCAGCGGACACGCTCCGACGCGTTATGAGCCGGATTCGCCGAAACGAAACTGAAAATGCTTGGAGCGACGTTGGCATTTGATTACGTGACTGGGTCAGGCACTGTGATTGATTAGGCAAATCGAGTTGGAAGGTTTGTTAGTCGAATGGATGTAGGAGTGGTGGATGCAAGGAATAGAAATGGAATGCAAATCCGGAAACTCTTGATTTGCCTGTCAAGTATAGATAAAGATTATTTTCAGGGAGAAATCTAATATACATTGACAGACAAGTGGAATAGGTATATCATTTATTTATGTAATTAGAAGAGGTCAACGATCTGGACAAGAATTCTAGTGAATAAAGGAATTAAATAATTACCGTCGGACATTGTGAATTAGTCAATTTATAAGAACACATTTCTACTGTAATGAAAAATGTATGTACACCTGACCCTCGATTTACGCGGACCTTTTTCACGCGGAAAATTGGAACACTACGCGATAGTTTTTACGCGCAATCTGAATTTAGTAACAGCGAATAAAATATACTTTTGTTTTATAAAACGTCATTATTATTATTTCTTTTGTTAAGCTATATGAAATAAATATGTATTTCTAAAACTTATACCAGCTTTCCTCTTCAATATTTTGTTTTCTCTTGTGCCGACAGACTCTATTTATGCGATTTTCGCGTAAATCGAGAGTCAGTTGTACATTAAATAAACACTCAACTGCCCACTTGATCAGCGGCGTAAGCATACAATCATAGATTAGATAACCGAACGACAAACTCATCACGCGAAATTATTCGAGCAACTTTAGCGAGTAATTACCGGGAGTATGAGTACCTAATCTTTATCTCATCTTTGCACACGGTAACTCTAGTTACAAACGAATAATTAAATCCGTTTTCCGGGCTAGCAACGTCAACAGCACGTTCCTAAATTATCCTCTCGTATGCCGAACGAGTGAATCAGATTAAATTTCGGCAATCTGGGCGGGTAGTTCCCGTTAAATCACCGGGAAACGGATCCCGGTTCAAAAACCGTCTCGGCCGAGTTGCCAGGGGCAACAGTGGACGCGGAAAGGCGACGTAATAACGCGAACTTCCGAGATTCCGTTGGCGGGCAAGTTCGAGGGATAACGTCACGCTTAATTTACACCGGGTACGCCGAGGGAGACACCTCGGCGATAATGCGAACGTCATCCAGCCGGCTCTCAGGGCGTCTGATTAAATCAGTAGCTTCATCGCGGAATCATGGGCAGCGGTTAAGCGGGGAAACGAGAGATCGAAACGGAGGAGCCGAGGAACTGAATGAAGATTCGAGTGGCATCGGCGTAATCTTCGCACCGGCGAAACGAAAGCGCGACAGACGATTGCGTTCAAGCGATTGAATTAAACTCGACCGACAAGTGCTCGTCTATGTCTCTTTTCTTTGTTCCACTTTACTTTCTTAGCAGGAAAGTGACTGGTATCTTGTATGATCTACAGTTAACACATTGCGTACTGGTAACGAGAAATCTCGTTTTTATATAGACTCTTAGTTATATAACTTTGATAATTACCACAGCATTTAAGGAAATATTAAATTTGAATAGAACTAATTGTCCATTTAAAATATATTAAATAACAATATGATACCTGAGTTTTTTTATAGATAGTGATATAAGTGGATCTCACTGAAAATGTGCACAATTTAATTTTCTGATAATTAGTCGGTACGCAATGCGTTAACACGTTCGTTACCAGTGTTACGTATTTGTGACGCACGTAATCGGATATTTTACATAACGAAACTGAGACTGCTTACATAAATATTTTCATTTAAAGTTATAAGATACGGCATTATGTTTAGGAACTCAATGACTCAATTCCTTTTTTTAAATATTTCGTTTTGAAGGTTTGCTGGATTGAATAAACTATTACAATTGAAAACTTTGTTAGTGAAACAAATGCTGGTCGTTAACGTGTTAAGCGTATCTTCGACGGCGAGAGATTGTGGTAGATGTTGGATGATGGATTCACCGAAGTTCTGTTAAGATGATGATTGGTGTTTATGTAGTAGCTAGATCAGACTTGGAGCATTGGTTTGGTGTAGTGTTAGTTATAATAAAGACTCAAATTGTGCTGTTCTTGAGAGTAATTGTTTATTAGGATTTGAAGAAATGTACTAAGTGCAAGAACTTCGAGCTTTGAACTTTCAATATTCAACTTTTAACTCTGAACTTCCAACTTTCCCTTGTTAAACTTATATTCGTGATCTGTTCTGGTCAACTTATATGACAAGATTCTATTAAATTACAAATATTCCACGCGTCCTATAAAACTATCTCTAATCCTCCAGGAAGGGAAACCATATCTCATGGAATCACTTAAAAATCGGAACCTTACCTCTGACTTCTCACGGCTCTGCGAGCTGCCGGCGTCTTTAGTCTGATGGCTAAAATGATAAAAGTAAGTCTTAGCTCCTCTCCTGGCGTGATAAAAGGCGATCCTCATGAGCGGCGCTACGGTGTGACCGTCGCTGAGTGCCTCGATGGTCGAGTCCCGTATGTAGACCGGGTGCAGTGTCGACTTCTCCCAATCCGTGTACTCGTTCCTCACCGCGGAGAAGATCTCGTTCAGATGATAGACGTAGACGTTTCTGATGAACGTCCTTAGGATACGGTCCCGGTAGTCCCCCTCGAATCCGTATTGAAAATTGTGCGCGTTGAAGTCGAGATTCGACTCCGTGGTGGAGACGCCCAATATCAGCGGCACTTTGATGAAAGTGTCGCTCGCTTTCTCCATGTCGAGGCCCGGGTCTGGGTTATTTTGGTCCACTGGCAGGCCGGGTCCTATTCGAGGCACGAACCTGGATCATAAGAGACGAAATTTCTGCCTGGCTTGTTTAACGTGACAAATTGCTGGGCCTGGACTTGCTATTGATCGATCACGCCACGGTAACGACAGCAACGCCTGGAATCGTTAATTAAACGCTTCGGCTAATGATAAACTGTTGACTGAGTTCTGTCTCCAGGATGCGTTAGAAAAATGTTTCATGAATTCCTCTGTTGAGCGTAATCATTACTATGGCAATCGAGGGAAACTATTAGGTGATTTGAAAGGTCGAGGTGATTTAGCAATGCTATCGAAAAAGTAAGAAATCTAATTGACTATTCAATGTTTCGAGTACAATTCATACTAGTGATAGAGAAGTTCAACATTACAGTAACCCAAAATTCTTATTTACTATTATTCTGTAACAAAAGTGACGCGTGGTAGCCATAAATTGAATGATAATTATCAAGACAATTAAAATTAATATTGCTGATACATTAATACAAGTTGTTCTATTTCTGTTACTGAACACTGTGCGGAAGCAATGGTTCGGAAGGATTGAAATTTAATAATCCGAGGCGATAAACGAGTCTTAGATTGCTCAAGTAATTTCATTGTCTCATATGTAGTTCCGCGGAGTTTATGGGACTTGTTTATGTGAGAACGAGGGTGGATACGTTGAAGTATCCATAGATGTTAAGCGAAGTCTCGGGATAAAGTCGTAAACGGTTAGTATCTTACCGGATTTCCGGAAGTTCAACCGCCATAAGCTCGTGGAGAGGCACGCCGCGCAGACAGTCGGCGATATCTTCGTCGTTTCCCGCGGAACATCCTATTTGCTCCGCTACTTTTGCGCGCAGGTCGTTCGGATCGTGAACGGAGGCCCATGGGCTTAGCGCGGAACCACTTGATAATACCACGCGATGGAACAGACCTGAAAAGAGCCGTTTAAACGGTCGGTACCGGAGGACGATTTAATCATTTAATATCGTTCAACGTAACCGCCAAGACGTTGCCCGAGCCCGAAATTAAAAAAAGAAACATCGGAGGTAGCTGCGCCGTTTTGGTATTATTTCAAATTCACGAGCTACGTCTGACTGAACTCTTTTGTGAACCACTTGGCCTGGAGGCGATTCGTTAAATTCATATTCAATTTATAGTGAATTTATAATGAATTCATAGTAAATTTATAATAAATTCATAATAAATTTATAATGAATTCATAGTAAATTTATAATAAATTTATAATAAATTTATAATGAACTCACAGTGAACGCAAACAATTTACAGTAAACTTCCAAATTCGGTGTTTCCAAAAACTAAGCGTTAACAAAAATGTATTCCATACTTTTTAAGTAAATGATCACCTCATTGATACTTTCTCATTTTTGTATCGTCAGCAGTTGAACTCACTTATGATTTCTTGCATGACTGTTCCAGTATTACTTTGCCCTTAACATTTTCCTAGATATAAAGAAAAATTCTCTGTTCCTACTATATCAACATTTACTTCAAACAATACTAATATTCAGTTGAAAGTGAAAAGGATCGAGCGGCATTTATTTCCGTTAAATTCAATGCGAAATCTTCATCAACGGTCCAGCACGATATTGTGCAGCGAGAGGTTAAATTAACTCGAAGTAAGAGAGATTGTCGGACTAATTTCCTACGTTTCCACTGGCACCGATTCCGCCGCGTTCTTGCTCGCATAGACTGTCGCCGTTTAAGTACTTTTTACGACAGCCAGCCAGCGAAGATAACAACGAATTGCATTTCTTGGGGAACGTCTCGAGTGCCCCAGTGTCAGTGCGGCAGAGCATGCGCACGCCGGCGTTATAATGCCACGAAGAAAGAAGGCATTAAAGCTTGCCCGTACGGTAGGACGCCGGATATATCGAAGTTATTACAACATCAACACGGGAAGGTCGTTATCCGCGATAGCTCAACAAGATTTACGCGATAATAAAAGATATTCAAGGAGACTGGAACGGCAACGGCGACGAATTATGGCGTACTGGGACACAGGTAACGTCATCATCCGGGCACAGTGAATAGAACGGCGACTTATCGTGCCTCGCTGAGAAAAATGGCACTCCCGATCCGGCGTTAGTCCGCGCCATTAAACCTTATATTTAACACCACTTGTCAGACGGTCCGAATACTTTGAAAAATTTGAGCGGCAATATTTAATACGAGCACTAACGTTTCCACGGACCTCTAAGGTTCGACCGTGGAAATCTACCTTTGCCTTAAATGTTCGAGTTTCATGGATTCACCTTTGACAGCATTTTTGTGATATGCAGAGAACAATATTAAAATATATTAATTAACTGCGGTTGCTATTCGTTTTATGTTCCTATAAACTTAATTGAAGCGTAGATTTTTAAGTAAGATCTGATTGAAATGTATCTCGACTACTTGTGACGCTTGATTAATGTTAGTTGCGAGTATTGAAACCATTATAGCTTCGAATTGGTCGTGGATAAATATATGACAGTGATTATATTTATTTGTCTAAACTTGTGTCTTTCACAAATTTCCTTGTGTCTGATCAGAAACGATTGAAACTATTCGAATTGAGAAGTTTAAGGAATTTTAAAGAACAATCTTCCATTAATTCCTTATCGAATACCCTACTAATTCAAACTGTATACACTGCACAATGAAATTTAACAGTTACCTAGAGTTACCACAATTTTCAGAATATTCCGCTCAAAGAACAATCTTCCATTAATTCCTTATGAAATACTCTACTAATTCAAAATACATACACTGTAAAACGAAATTGAACCTTTTTCACTCGCAAGGCGACTCTCAGTCACCATTTTATTTGACGCGGTATAACCTTAAACTCTGATATTTGAACTTTGTATAAAGCCTTGATACGTGAAATATTGGAATACAATAGCTTTATCTCTCAATGTACATGTAATTTCCTTTCAACTTAGTTTGAAGAAATATCGTCTTCGCCTCATCAGAAGATGTTAAACATTTTTAACGAGAAATTTCCGAGTGCAAAAGATTAACAATTACATAGATTCAACACAATTTTCAGAATATCCCGCTCAAAGAACAATCGTCCATCAATTCTTCATAAAATACCCTACTAATTCAAACTACATACACTGCAAAATGAAATATAAGTTACCTAGAGTCACCACAATTTTAAGAATATCCCGCTCAAAGAACAAACTCTCTTAATTTCTTGTACCTCGTCCGATATCGTGGTTCCCCGCGACGTGGTCGATACCAATCCAACAAAATCCAGCGCAGCGCGCCGAGGCGGGAGCTCGCCTTATTACCGTCACGGATTCCTGTTTGCCTTTAATCTTTGCCAGGCCCCGTTAACGAAAAGTATACAATTTCCAGCATCGACCTCGACGTCCTGTCTTCTGCGTCCTTAATCCCGGCTTTCCGCTAAGTCCGTAGTATCGCGTATCCCGGCCGGGTTTTGTTCCGTTCGAGCGATAATTCATCTTTTCCCCGCCCCATGCTATGCCGTTGAAGCTAAGTCGACGAACGTTTCATGCGGAGGGAAACGGAAATCCAGGGAACGGATTATCGGGAGGCTGTTAATTAATTAAGAGACCGATCGATCAGTCAAGTTCCACTTTCGGACAAATGTTGACTCTGTCCTCGGATCCACCGCGTAACAGCGAATATTTGCCGGGCGAAGTTTTTACACTTGTCGATTGGCGATTTAATATTGACGTATTATCGAACACTTCCTTGCAAATGCATAGTAGTCTTTTCGAATCGAAACATTTGCGAGGAATAGAAGGTGTTTGAAACAATAGTGCCGAAGAGTTTAGTACTTTGCGAAGTGTTCTTGGTCGCGTTGGTTGGCTAGCTTGAAACTTGTGTCAAGGTTATTTGATTCGATTATGGGTTGATAGGATATTTTAGTAGTTCGTTTGAGAATATGAAAATATGCTGACTTATGCATTAAATTTATGTATTTGTAAATTATGTGATTGAAATATAAATAATTTTTATAGAAACTGATGGAATATTGAACTATTGGAATAAAATTAAATGTTGAAGATTCAATGATTCCTAATTTTCCACAACTTCATAAAGAAATGAAGAAGAAAAGGAAAGAAGTAAATAAGGCCATAAACAATGTATCGCCAATCCCACGAAGAATTAACATCAATCATTCCTTATTCCCAATAACCAGAGAAAGCACGAGAAAAGAAATAAAAGGAAAAAGTGAATAAGTCAAAACATTGTCAAAATACGTTAAGACAGCAAAGAGTCAATACCATCGATCCCTCGTTTCCCATAACTTGACGATGAATCAACTAAGAAACCAAAAAGGAAGGACATAAAGAAATAACAAGACAACGTGTTGTCAAGAGAAATCTCTCTCGAAAACCTGCCCGTCGATTGACAACGTGTTAAGCCCGAGCTAGAGGACCGTCCCAGCCCGATCGGCTCGAATATCGGTTGTAATCGATACACACAGGTGTGCGTTCGACGTTGCGCACGGGTTTTCTGTCTCTTTATAACGCGGGAAAACGGAGAACACGGGTCCGCGGGGCGAAACAAACGACCATCGATCCGAAAATACGATCAAACGCGGATCCCACGGTCGTCTGACGGGCAAATATCGCTTTCCGAAAATTACACCGGCTCGCACGAGACTGTAAAAGGCAAATATTTGATCCGTCTCCCCCTCGCACCCCTTCGGACTGGAGAACATTTGCATTGGACATGTATTGCGCCGTATTTCCCCTCGGCATCACGCCGGATTAATCTGAATACGGTTGCAGCCGCATTTCCACGCCGAAAGTCGTCCATGCTTAAAGGTTGGCCGTGTTTGCGCGGCCGCGATCTTTCCGCCTCGCGAGACGTCGCGAAAACACGACCGGAAATTAATATTTCGAAAGTTCGCCGTTCGATTCGGAGAAGCAACGGTTACCGCTGAGATATGGCCCCGAAATCTCATCTCGGACAGGGGAAATTAATTCGTCGCGCTTTGAGAGGAGTCGTTGATTCAGCGGCACGTGAACGTGGTTATTTGTAGGAGGGATTTTGCGGGAATATCGTTCGGGGAATGTTTTTTAGCTTACGGGCTTGACGAAGAAAATAAATAATATTAAAATAATATTTAAATCGCTGTATGGAGCTTTGGCGCTTTACTCGATTTATTATGAAGAGGAAATATTATTTTCAATGAAATTGTATTTAGACACAGAAAGATAGACAGCAGCCAATCGGGTCACAAAGTGAACTAGATCGAAACAAGAATTCAGTTCACACTTGTTTCATCGCGAATTATATTCCTCATTTCTTGTTTCTCATTTTCAAGTTTAATTTTACCAATATGTTTAAACTCTCCTCCACTTTTTACTAGTAATAACTTATACTAGTAATAATTATACTAGTATAATTGTTAATACTCGTGGTTACCGTAATGGTGGTCGAGCTTTGTAGGCGTTTGCACGTGCTGTGCCGACTAATAACACTTGTACGGTTCGAAGGACCACCCAATATGATCGGGAACAAAACTTAGAAATGAGTAGGAGGTGAAGCGGGCTTTGACTCTAGTGTTATGTGCTTGATCGAAATTGCTACTTGATACTTTGTAATCCGTACTTCCTACTCTGTACTCTATGCTATGTACTATGTGAGTTGATACTTGTGTAACTATGTGTTTCCAACTTGTGTTTCTAACTTGTGTTTCTAACTTGTGTTTCTCAACTATTTGTATCCAACTGTGTGTATCAACTATGTGTATCCAACTATGTGTATCAACTCCTGGGCCTCCCAAAATCGTCTTCGACACCTCCGCAATGTTGTCTTCGCAGGGGGTGAAGACGTTCTGGTTGGCCCTTTTAGATCTAGATGGTTGTGAAAGGGAGATACAGTCCCCTCCCTTCTTGGGTCTTCCTAGTTGCTAATGTTAATAACTAATTCGTCCCGTTTGCA